ATCTATCTATCTATCTATCTATCTATCTATCTATCTATCTATCTATCACTCTACCTATCATCTCTCTCTCTACCTATCTCTATCTCTATATTTTTATTATCTATGTATTATCTATCTATCTATCTATCTATCTATCTATCTATCTATCTATCTATCTATCTATCTATCTATCTAATTATCTCTATCTATCTCTATTTATCTCTCTCTGTCTATCTATCTATCTATATCTATATCACTCTACTTATCATCTCCCTCTCTACCTAGCTTTATCTCTATATTTTTATTATCTATGTATCATCTATCTATCTATCTATCTATCTATCCATCCATCCATCCATCCATCCATCCATCCATCCATCTCTGTTTGTCTCACTCTATTGCTATCTTTCTCTTTCACATTCTCTCTCTCTAACTCTATCTGTATAATCTCTCTCTCTCTCTCTCTCTCTCTCTCTCTCTCTCTCTCTCTCTCTCTCTCTCTCTGTCTCTCTTCATTTACATGCTTTCAAACTGCTAGGTGGTCTGGAGCTGGGACAAGTCATGAGATCTCAACCCACCACGTGCTGCTCGGGTCTCAAACCCTGGGCTGCCAACTCTCCAGCTGACAACCATCGCCCCCCCCCCCCCCCCGTAAATTGGAATCCGCTTCCTACCAAAGAAATGTACTGACGAAATGCAGGCTTTCCAACCTTCTGAAAGCGAGAGTCACCTTTCATGAAGCGAAACCTGCTTCCCTTCCAGTTACCTGGAGCATTTGCCGGGTGACCTCGACCTCGACCGGGAAGATGGAGCATGGGAACAATGCCTGCATTGCGGGAAGGATCTGGATTGAGAGCGTAGTCTTTGGAACCGTTGAGCAAATGGGTTGTGGGGGGGACCCTGAATATCTGCACGGAGAATCCAGGGATGAACCAGAAGGCGATAAATCAAATAAGGTGTAGCCCGATATCTTTTCGTTTTCCTCTTCGCTGTCCTCCAAGAAACCCTCCATTGCTAGCCCCGAATTGATAAACATAGATAGCTTAGAGAACTGTTCATCGCTATAATGACCATAGTCCCTCAGATTGCTAGTCTTGTTGGTCTCTTCGTCAAAAACAGCTTGGCTGGGGGAACCGAAATGCTTGTTGAGTTCGGCCCGGATTTCCTGGTCTTGGAGCAGTTTCCGGTTGTTGCATGGTAAGTCCAGCTTTCTCGCCTGCCAACTTTCTCTCTCGTCCTCCTGATTGCTTTGCTCCAAGGAGGAACAAATGGGACACCACCACCCTGTTAATTCCACCTGACTGGAGTTCTGCAGTTCCAAGGAACGGTTGAGGCATCGTTCTGTCTTGGAAAGGACCGACTGACAGTAATCGTGGTCGCCAAACAGTCTCAAACCAAGCAGCCTCGTCTTCCTCTCCTCTTGTCCCACAGGCGGCCCACTGGTCTTGCTCAGCTGCGCATACAGCTCCGACTGCTCTGGAACCTTCCAGAACAAATTGTGTCCTTGCGAGATGGAAGACTCACTGCAACGAGGTTTCGGGGAAGGTGGCATAACAGTCTGGCATGACGCCTTGGGCTTTGGTGAAGTTCTAAAAGGGTTGTCTTGGGTGGCCTTATGAGGAGGGGTGGTAGGTGGAGTTAGGCCTAAAATACAAAAGGAAGGGGGGGAAGAGGGGGGGAGCAACACAGGTTAATCTATTCTTAATGTGATGACAAGGGGCATGGCACAAAAGCAACAAAGTCACAAAAGTAGGTAAAGTCCCTTTAATTCCTCCAACTTGGCCCCCAATGTTCAGTTATCATCGGTTGGAGAAAAAACTCTCCCAAGAATAGTTTTTAAAGGGAAGAGATTCCATCCAAACTCAAAGTACATATAAAATATAAATAAAAACCAACACAAACCACACTGCAGCAATTAATGAGTCAGGGCAAGATAAGGGATTTAAGACATCAAAATAATGAACATACACACTTGGGAGGACACCAGAACTCAGACTAAGACTTGACAAACCAGAATAATTTCACGCTTTGCTTCGAGCAACTTTGCCATGCGCAGTCTGCCCTTTTAAACAGTCTTCCCAGCTGCAGCCAATGGAGGGGATCAGGGCCCTTTCCTCCACTGTAAACCACGCAACTCACGTTGCTCCCTTACCCATTCCTCCCTGCATGCCCTAGGATGAAGAGGGGGTGGCCCTGGGTCTTCCTCTGAAGGCCCTGCTGGACTGTGCCCTTCCCCAGTTTCTTCCACAGCCACTGGAGCCACACTCCCACTCCCTGTCAGCTGCTCAACCTCCCCCTCGGAATCAGATTCCAACAGGGGCATGACACTTAATATTGCAACCAATTCTGCAGTGGGATCTTATCTGTTCCACTACTGGTTCGATGATCGCGCATGCACCTAACGCGCTCACGCAGCTTTCCCCACACCAGCTGAGGCCTGCAGCACCAATCAGCTGAGAGGATAACGAAGAGAAAAGTGCAAAGGTGGATAAGAGGGCCAATCCTGCCCTTTTCTCTTCTTTCTCCTCTCAGTTGATTGTCAGAGGATTTTTTTTCCTCCTCTCAGCTGATCGTGGGAAGCTTTTTTTTTTACTACCAGTTCGCATGAACCGGTCCAAACCGGTAGCATACTACAATTGTGGTCACCATACTACAAAAAGATGTTGAGACTTTAGAACAAGTGCAGAGAAGAGCAACTAAGATGACCAAAGGCCTGGAGACTAAAACATACGAAGAATGGTTGCAGGATTTGGCCAGTCTAGAGAAAAGAAGGACTAAGGGGGATGACATGATAGCAGGATTCCAGTATTTGAGGGGCTGCCATAAAGAAGGGGGGGCGTCAAATTATTCTCCAAAGCACTAGAGGGCAGGACAAGAATAGATGGATGGAAACTCATCCAGGAGAGAAGCAACCTGGAATTAAGGATATACTTCCTAACAGTGATGACAATTAATCCGTGGAACAGAAGTTGCCTTCAGAAGTTGTGGTTGCTCCATCACTGGAGGATTTTAAGAAGAAACTAGACAGTCACATATCTGAAATGATATAGTTTCCTGCTTGAGCCGGGGGGCTGGACTAGAAGACCTCCAAGGTCTCTTCCTATTCTACTGTACTGTACTGTACTGTACTGTACTGTACTGTACTCTACTCTACTCTAAATTCTATTCTATTCTTTATTCCGATATTCTATTCTATTCCATTCCATTCCACTCCACTCCTCTACTCTACCCTTTTTTTCTTTTCTGCCACATACTGAAATACGGGTAGTTCTCAACTTCCAACAGTTTGGGGCTCGGCAAGTGGTTCATATTTACAACAGTTCAGCATCCCGGGGTCACGTGACTGGCTTTGGGGACCTCCTGACAAGCAAGGTCTGTGGGCAAGCCAGATTCACTTAACAACCATGTTACTGACAAATCCAGTGATTCACTTAATGTGATTCTCTCCAGCGTTCCAGTCTATGGCTGACGGAGGTCAAAAGCCACTCAGCTGGTTTCAAGGGAGGGCTAGTCCAGTACCTTAACCACTAACCCACATGAGATGTACATTTTAACTGTATTTACCCCATGGTGGAACAGTGGTTAGAGTGTGGTACTGCAGGCTCCTTCTGCTGACTGCTGGCTGCCTGCAATTTGGCAGATCGAATATCACCAGGCTCAAGGTTGACTTAGCCTTCCATTCTTCCGAGGTGGGTAAAATGAGGACCCAAGTTGTTGTGGGCAAGAGGCTGACTCTGTAAACCACTTAGAGAGGGCTGCAAAGCATCGTGAAGCAGTATATAAGTCTAAATGCTATTGCTATTTCAATGTGTTAATTTTCCGAGTATCGAAGTGCTTAAAGCTAGTAGCATTTCTTGCTCGGCATCCCCACGGTATTTTGAAATAATTGGATTTATTTACCTTCCCTTTTTATGCAACATGGATCCTACAATTTTATAAATAAAACAATGAAACTGAATTAGCTACCATACAATGGTAAACTCTAAATCTACATGATAAAGGGATATATAGCCTTGGGCGCTGATTTGCTCTTTTTAAAGCCAGATACAGGAATCCAAACAACAAAACCTGCCCCTCCCCTCAAAAAATAACCAATCTGTTATGAATGAAAGAAAACATTAACTATACGCCGTTGAAAGAGACAGCAAGGCGGAAAACATTATGTCATATAGACGGAAACATTATGCTATCGATGGACAGCTGTGATTGTGATTTGCACAATCACAGGTTGGGAGGTTAATGGACAGTCACTCACTGCTACCCTGTGCAGAACACACACTTGTGGCACTGCAACTTTGTAAGAAAACTATGTGTAGGGGAAAAAAAACGATCGAGAAATTGAAACGGCAGGTAAGCCGCCTAAATTGCCCCAGTACTCTTTTAGCATCACAAGAGAGAAGCTGAAATTTACCTTCCGTTTAACAAATAGAGGCTTAAGTAAATAAAAGAGGAGACAAATGTCAGATCAATAAGGGTTTTCCCTCCCAGCATGTTAATTTCCTCGGCGAGATCTCTTTGTAGAGAGGAAAGATCACAGCTTTGCCGAAATCCTCAAATGAAAGAAGCCAAAGCTTTCGTCTCCAAGGTTTAGTTGCGTGCAGGAAGCATTTGCAACCCTTCTGCCTCCTTTCTGATTTTATCAAAGAGGGTGTCTCATTCCCTGGCTCACACACAGACACATTTTTTTTAATATTTTATTTTAACGTAATACAGCTTGCCTTCAGAAGTTGTGGGTGCTCCATCCCTGGAGGTTTTTAA